TTATTTATTAATATTTTTACAAAATTAATAATTTTAATAATAAAAATATAAAAAATACATATAATTATTTTTAAATATATCATTATCAGTCATTTAATTTAAAATAACAACTGCTAACTATCGTATAACTAAATAGTTATATTAATTGAATCTGCTATCTGTTATTCATTATCCGTTATCCGTTTTTTGTGATTTGTCATCCACCATGCGCTAACTGCCACCCACTACCCATTATCACTATCCATTGCCCATTACTCGTTATTTATTGAATTTTAACCATTATATCAAGCAAGCCCTTGATCTCCTTGGCTTTGACCGAATGTCAAAATTGACACATGAGTTTGTCTACAAAAAGATGTTTGGGGTGTGATGACTTTGGATTAAGATTTATTATTTGGTTGCAGGCTATTATGATGTTGGGTGTGCTATAGCAGCATAACTAACAACTAAGAGGCAAAGGCATAGCAAAATACTCATATATATATGTTTAGCTATCTTTCTAGCTTGTTCAATTTTATGGGCAAATACTTTATATTTTATATGACATGTTGTAGCATATGAGAATTATAAATTGTTAGGTACCTTTGAGTAATGTAAAGTTATTATTATTATTATTATTTTGTACATTTGATTATGGGATATAGAAGAGCGGATGGCTCTTTGGTATTTCCAAATCCCTTTCCACCTAACTCAAGGCTCAAACTTGAAATTTTTCAACTTAAAGTCTCAAGCTTTTAACTGTTGAGCAACTCCATTAGAATTTGAGTAATATAAAGTTATATTATAATAGTTTTATCTCTTTATTTCAATATAAGATTTATGATTACTTTTCTAGAAAAAAAAGACAGATTATTTACATTAAAATTAAATCATTCATGAAAAATTACTTACCTATTAATCTTTTAAAAAAATTAAACACTAATTAATAAAATAAAAAGTAAACTCTTTTATTAACTAATGCAAACTCTTTCAACATTTCTCTTAAAATCACAAAAACGTGTAGTTTAAAAATAGGCACTTAATCTTCAAACTATGAATATGTGCTGCTGATCCTATATGGTTTGAAAAATATGCACACTAACTCTCAAAAGTTTTTGAAATTTCACCTTTCACATCCTGATGAACCGAATGACAGAGCAATCCAACGAGCCCTCACAAGTATGGACGGACCAGGACTGTAAAACCGTAAATCACAACTATTTTCAAGTAGTACAAGTAGTATTAAGAGAATTTATTGTGAGAAATAAGAATGTAAATTTATTTATTTATTTTTTTTAAATGCATTGCTGATTCCGACCTTACCTGCATAAAATCGTAAACAGAGAATCAGAGGGGAAAAAGGAATCAGATAATTAAAGGTTAAAAACCCAAAAAGAAAGACTGATTTAGAGAGAAACTGGGTGTAACTGAAGCTCATTCAACCCCATGAGAAACCAATTACAGCAAATAGTTAAAACTACAAGAAGCATTTACAGAAATACTGTAAGGGAAATGCACAAATTAAAATATTTACAAACATTGCCAGGAAATGCAAGCCATCATATACTATCCTAATCTAATTATCAAGCTAGTATTGCCGAAAAACAGAAATATATATATATATATATATATATAGCAAGAATCGACTGAGCAAGGTGAAGATCAGCCAGGTTGATTACTGGAGCTTCCATGGAAAATTAGAAGAAATCGTCAGCCTCCACGTCAGAAATATCTTCTACAGAAATTGACGCTGCTGGTTCACTTGTGTCACCAAGTTTCGCCTGCAATAATAATTGAACAAATTCAGGGCATGGTTTCATTACAGAACAAGTTCAACACTGTAAAACTTAGGACTCGCACAAGTCTACCAAATTTCAAATGAGGACATGGCATGTAAGGGTTTCCCCAAGTTGGTGATCTTAAATGGTAGTTTCTTATTATGCATGTAATGAAATCCACAATCAATAGATGCCTAGGTTTTGTTTTGGAGTTTGAAAATAGACTAGGGACAAGAGTCTACCAACTGATGCAATTAGCTACGCACAGCTTTCTTTCAACTTACCTTAGCTTGGAGATACTTTTCAAGCATCCGACGATATTGCTCACGTGCCTCAGGAGACTCAACCATGTTCAGCACACGTGAAAGAGCTCCATCAATAGCTTTATACACATTCTGTTTACGAAATACTTTGAGAAAGTCCTCATCTTCACTTGAATCATTTGGTTCTGTCTCAGGATGAAAACCTCGCAAACCAACTCCTTTCCTTCGCCAACGCAGTATGATCTTTTCTAGAGTACTAACAGCCCTACAAACAACCTTGTAGTGTTTTCTGACCTGGTAACCTCTTACATGAGCCTGCCACCAAAGAGAAAGCAAATAATTACCACTAACTCCATCTATATACCACTTAGCTAGTAAGCCCAAAAGATCCTATGTAGTAATTCTAACAGTCATCTATACCTGTATCTTCACAACTTTCCGGCGAAGGGCTAGAAAATTTTTACGACCTTTCCAACCTCGATATTTTTTCTGAATAGATAAAGCAGCTGAATTGTAATCACGAGCATTTCCAAAGGTTAGCTTTGACATGGCAGAAAGCCTTTGAATCTCATCTGAATGGAGACCATACTCATCCACACCAGCTGCAGCAGCGGCGGCAACTTCTCTCTGTCTTCGTTTTTCGAAGGAAAGTGCACGAAAAGCGTTGTGTATTCGTGCAGCAGCCAAAGCTGCATTCCTGACTGCAGCTAAGATATCTTTAAGTGAATGTTTGTCCTCACTGGTTGCAGTGTTTACCTTGGAGATGCTATTCACTGTCATTTCTGCCATAACCTCAGCTGAGCCTTTGGAAAGCTCACTTTCTTCCAGTGTAAGGGAAGAAAGATGGCTAGTTAATGCCAACTCTGAGAGATAACCAGCAAGTCCCTTGTGCCCATTGGAGGCAGCAATGGATGCAGCAGTTTTGCCAGTTGGATCTTGTGAGCTGGGATCTGTCACTGCTCCAGCTGAAGCACCAGAAGCTATAAGGGCAGCTACCATTTTTTCCCTGTTACAAAGAACAAAGTCCACAAATAAAAAAACCTTATATGCATCAAAAGGCCAGTCTTCATAAGAAGTAGCAGCTATAGACCCTCATCTAAGCAATCAACATTACTTTTTTAACGATAAGGAGACAAAACATTTGATCTCTTCCCCCAAATCCACCACACATCCAAAAAGCAAAAAAAAAAAGATTTTCCAGACTCCAAAGCAAATATATTATCTCCTATGAAGAGCATGCTGCATTTATGTTTTCAAAAAGCCTTGTAATCTGTCTTCTCTACTTCATATTAATGCCTTCAAATAGGACAACAGGAAGAGTTTATCAAATTTTACCTTCCAAAACATGCAGCCCAGTGAAGAGCAGTCCATCCATTAATGTCACGGAAATTTATACTGACTCCATGACTTAGAATTGGATTTAATGCCCATTCAAATCCCAAGCCAGCAACCATATGTATAATTCCTTGTTCTTTCTTGGACAAGGAGCAGCCTGACTGGTTACATGCTTCCTTGGATCTAGAGGATAGCCATTGTTGCAGCTTGTCCTTTTGAAGCTCTTGCAGAAGCCAATCAATTATACCAGATGAAGTCCCATTGCCAGAAGTCCCATTGCCAGCTAAAAGAGCCTCTATAACATCATTCCATGAATCATCATCACCTTTCAACTTCCTCAGAAGATGCATTCCTGATTCTGTGCCGCATCCTTGCTCAGATGGTGAATCCGAAAGAAGCATTTGCACAAATCTAACCATTAACAGTAGCTCTTCTGTACTCTTAGCTTCTGTGGAGTATAGATTATACTGAGAAGAGCTACTAGTTTTAACTCGATATTCAAACTCCCGCACTTCACTACAAGACTCACGATTGCCACAAGTGATGCACAGATTGACCTTCCCAGGATGGTGGGGAGGAGCTTCACAACGGATGACACCTTCCTGAAGAATCTCAAGAGGAACTTCTGTCTCCCCAAACATGCATGTCCACACTGATTCTGATGGATCACATAAAAAAGATCCAACAATAATGACCTGCATTTGGAACTTGGCTTTAGATATTAGCCTATCATGGGGAAAGAAAAGAACCTCCCAAAACAACAAAATTTATGGCATAGTAGCAACAGAAACAGTAGAATGAAAACATAAAATTCAGCAAAAATACCTTTGTAGCCTCAGTGGAGTAACCCCAGTCTGGGGATATTTCCCGAATTGTGAATTTCTGCTTTTCTGCAATAGTTATATTTGAATCAGTTGCAAGGGGAGTTCCTATTTGGCCTTGGTTGAAAAGCATTCTACAGTAAATAGAGTTGGTTTCCAGAGCTTCCATTACAGAAGAATGTGCAGCAGTTTCAACATTCTCAACTTCATGAGGTAGCATAAAATCTGCCAGGGAAGAAATTGTCAAAAATCAACCAACAATGACTAGGTATAAGAATCTACATCATATGACTATCAAGAATAGGAGCAGGTATACAATCTTTACCGTTGGATCCTTTAAAATTTGACCAATAAAACAACTCCAGTTGCTCTAATGCTTTCCTCCTTGGAAAGGATTGTAAATTTTCCTGTTTTAAGCATGAAGAAACTCTCATAAGATAGCTATGATTGGCCTTATATGAAATCAAGTAAATTAATTTGAGTAAGTGAAGACATGGTGAATAACAATTACAGAAATGGAGTTACTTGCTCATTCAGCAATGTGCTATATGGTGGTAAATAGAATTTGTGTTAAGTACTAACCACGCTATATATCTATTATGCAGAACATAAAAAAATGAACACAAATTACAGCATAATTTGCTTTTGTTTTCATATTTCCATGTGTTATGAAACTCATTTTTTTTCTTTTTTACCTGGGACTCAACATCTAATGAAATCTCACATGACTCTAAGACATTCTTCCAGTATAGGGTATCCTCACTTCCATCTGCATAATCATTTCTATCTCTTTGATAATGTTCTTCAGTTTCACCTACATGAAGAGGATTTAAGAAACAGTTAGTGAATCTTTCAAGATAATGATAGTGAACTGTTTGCATAGACAGAAAACAATGCCTGACTGAATTTTCACTTTAGACATACTTCCTAAATTTGTAAACCTACAAAAGTGGATACTACGTTTCAACATTTCAAGTCCGTAAAATTATCAAATTTAGGACCCAAATTACCCTTTTGACTCAAAACTGCACTTATTTTCTTTACAGTTGTAAGATTCTAGTGGGGGTACGTTTGGCTATTTACATATCAAAAGACATCAGCCCAAGGATGCACATACAAGGCTTTCTCTATACATTTTTCTTTGCTAGAGCCTACAGCAGCTTTGTTCTTTCTTGATTAGTTCATTGACAATAGATGTACAGGATATATAGAACCTATTTCCAATGACCAGCTAAGAGATCAAAACTGACAAACCTCTATCTGAAGGTAGCACAAAATTATTTGGGTAGTTTTCCAGCCCAGTATATCCGGTATAAATTTGACCTTGCAGAGTATAATCTGGTCCATGCAGTGGTTGCTGCTTGGGAATCTCCTTTCCATATTCCAGAATATCTAAATCATTTGCATCCCCATCCTCGATGTAGAATGGACCAATATCTTTGGTATTGTCCTCATCCAAGCTTAACTGCTCCTCAATCCTTCGTAAAGCTTGACTAACATCAAGGTCAGCTGAGCTGGTATGCTTCTCTGGGCTATCTACACCACGATTCTTGAGACCTAAATCAGAGCTAACCTCTACATACCCTGGACTCAAAAAATTTTGAGATGGTTCATGTACATCACTGGTTTGATAGTTAGATCCTGAATTTTGAGAAGTATAAGGCTTTGGACTTGGACTAAAAACAGAAGATAATCCTGGTGATTTTTCCATGGATCCAGGACTGGGCTTTCCCTGAAAACAAATGTAAAAAATGATATAACTTCAAAGCTCAAGCAATGAACCTCCAGCTGCCACTCGGAATGATGAAAGAGATTGGATAACAGTAATGCAAAGATGGCTATAATATTTCAGAATTAGTTACTTGTGATAGATGGCTATAATATTTCAGAATTAGTTACTTGTGATGCAAACAGTATTTTATCATAATTCATGAGTTAATATGGCTACCATTAAAAAACTTACAAGTCTGGAGAATTTTATGGTATAGTTAATACATCCAAAGTTTGCAGAAACACTGAGGATCAGAGCCATCATATGTATAAGTACTTGTATGAAGGATGGCAATTTCATGGCAGAATGATCTACAGAGAAAACAGTCCGGAGGTTCATCACAGAACCTTGATGCATAAAACCAGTTCCCTCAATGGAAATGGAAATTTCAGGCCCAGCATGAAGGGGAGCCATGCCAGTAATGGAGATTAGAACGTCACTGGATTGAATTATCACTGAGCAGAAGGAATAAAAATACATAGAAGACAAGGATGTGAAATTTCACCACTCTAAGCAACCAGAAGTTAAAACACACCTCATTTATCTCTCTATAATGAACGAGAACAATATGATCGTGTGCCCTGCCAATATAACAAACATACAAGCAAATATTACTTCTAATGCACATGAAAAATTACCAAACATGTAATATCAGGGAATAAAAAGATCTAAAAGAATATAATGTCCACTAATCAAAACACACTTACGGATCCAGCATCCAATAGCTACGTCTCTGAAAATTTGGGTTATGCTCTCCATGAGCATAGTAACAATTTAAAGTTTCGACATTTCCAACCTGGCCATGCATATAGAATAAATGAAAATATATACCTCCAGCAAAATCAGAAAGTCACCAAATAAATCAACATGACATTGACAAAGAGATAGAGTGAAATATCCCTTCCAAATGCATTGTTGCCTTCTCACTTTTTAAATCATCAATCAGAACAAGTATTCATACACTAAGAAACTGATAATAAGAAACATCTAGTATGATACCATTTATTAGATTTGCAAGGCCTTTTAATTTAAGGTAAAACCAAAAGGAGAAAATTGATATTTCTTCGACAAACCTTAAGCCTTTCATGTGCTTCCCCAACAGTTCTCCCATCTTTCTTTTTACGCCAACTATGACCATCTTTACGGAAGAATCGGTTGACCCTCTTGTTAAAAAGCAACACAGATCCACCTATCCATAAATTCAGTCACTGGAATCAACAGCTAAGAATACTAGGTAAATCCTACCAATAATTAACAAACTTTATCCGTCAAATTGAAGGATTATGGATAATACTTGAAGGCTTTTGAGGAGGCTCATGAATGATCTGGTATTTTTCATGATTCTGTAGTATAAAGTGCACTTCTGCTGGCTTCAACCACCTAGTTTGGGCTTCTCGAAACAGCTTATTGATATCAAACCCTGAGATTACTCCAACAAGTGAAACAATTTTTCTACTAACTCAAATGCACAAATTCTACTCAACAAGTGAACTTAATAACTAAAACTGACATGTAATAATAAAAAAAAAGAAAAAGTTCTGTATCGAATTACAAAACTTAATCATCACAATCAAAATTCTTAGACGTTTCTATCAACTTTACAATTTCTTCAGTAATTAAAGGAAATGAACACTGAATCTCTAAGCTTATACAGAAACAACTTCAATGGAGCAACGGAATTCCTGAATTAGAACGAAGCATTAAAAACAATGGAACCTAAAAGATTAACTGAAGAGAGAAAAAGCTTTAAACTCCTAACCCGATTCCATCGTTTCCAATTTGCGAAAAAGATGAAAGCCAAACGAATTGCAGACAGAACGATATTCCTCCGTTCGTTTGAAGCGCCGAGTCTTAGAACTCAATTCAGAGCGAGAGAAGAAGCTCAGCCGCGGCGGAGACTACCTCCGGACACGGGGAGGGGAGTAGGAACCAAACCGGACGCGGGAGCAGAGGATATGGGAAATACCAACATCACCTTGTTGCAGGAGTTGGTGTACTCTGCACTTATTCACAGCAGAACCCGACAACAATGGTGCGTTGAGTCATTATCCGGGGGTAATGAATATTGGAAATGATTTTGAGGTAATTTTTTTTATTTTTTATTTTTACAATTTAATGTATTATTTAAATAATTATTATTTTTTAATTAACATAAAATTCAATATATATATATATTATATAAAAAAAATTATCTTTATAATACCCTACAATGACTATAATGTAAGAGAGGGGTAGTATCTTGACATAACAAGTTGCGGCGTGCGAGGTCTAAATTATCTTTTTAAATTCGAAATTTCGAAGTCTTAAAAAATAAAAAATAATATAATTACAATAATATAATATTATAAATAAAAATAATATTTTATTCATCTTTCTTATTAAAAATTTAAAAAATATTATTTTAAAATTACATTATTTTAATAAACACATATTAAAAAAACTAAAATATCTT